ATTGTTGACCAATAATTAATGCGACAAAAGTTTGAATTGACTGAACAACGAAATGTAATGACTTCAAATTTATAAAAACTTCAATATATTACCAAAAAGCAAATGATTAGTTTTCGTATTCTGACTTTAGAATTTATGTTGTTGATAAAATAAAGATTGAAGTATTAGGGTATAAATAGATGGTGTCTTAACAGAAAATTTAATCATCTGTAAATCCAAAGATATGGGGACTCTAATTGTAATTACGTCCCTTTCCACCTCATAAGACTCGTGTCTTTTCTTTGTTTCTTTAAAAAGTTCTTTATAGCAAACAGATTTCAGATAGTTTCAGGTGTTTTTCAACTGTTGAACTGTAAGGTACCTCTCATTGCATTTCCTCTTCACTTGTTTCTCAAAGTTTCAGTCTTTTCTCTTTTGTTTCTCTCTTCTCTCAAAACTTTTGAGTTTTGACATTCATGAAATGTTTCCAAAAAAAAAAAAATCTTTTGACACTATTCATTTTTTATATTTACGATTGAAAAGCAGTGAATTTTTTCTTGTATATGATTCAAATCATGCTAGGGTTTTAATGTGTTGTTGTAACATTTGTACCATTTATCTACCGAGTGATATAACTCCAATATGATGCAGAGACAGAGACTCGATTCTTCTTCTTGGGCACCACTCAAGCCCCGAATGAAGACGGAGGCGATACTGGCCGGAGAACCGTCGTGACACCGTCTCGTCCGAGCTTACGCCCACCCATTTCACCCTACTCCAAAATCTCAACGTTCCAGAAACAACTCGGGTCGCAGAATTTCAACCCCGGACCAAGCATCCAGAGGTCCATGTCTCAGCCATCTTTTACCTTCTCCTCCTTGCCGTCGAGGAGCCATTCGTCGGCATTGTTCACATCATCACCGTCATCGGTTCCGTTTGGAAGGTCTCCTAACTCCTCCGGTAGTAGTACTCTGCCATTGTGTGATGATGACCCGTCATTGCCTAACTCCGACCATACTCTGCCACCGAGAAAGGCTCATAAACTGTCCAACACTAATGATATTTCTTCTCGGTTCCCTTTTGCCTCAATCGACTTTCGCTGTGCCTGGCATTAGAGAAAGACAAATTTATAATGATGCAATGGTGCAGTTTTCTCAGGTGCTGAATCTTGATAAGAGTGAGGCTTTGGAAGCTAATGAGAATATTGTAAATGATGACATGGAGAGAAACATCAGTGTTGGATCGACTAATTCAGTTGTGAAGAGAAGAGCAGGCAAAGAAACTAATCCTTCAAGCCCTCGCTTGACGAGGAGTGCTTCGGTGAATAATTTGGGCATGTTTATCGCATCTGATAGTAAACTCGCAGAGTTGGCTGTAACTTCTCCTAAGAAGGCTAGAAGGTACGTAAAGCGTGACTAAAGTAGTCGTGTTTTTTTTCTTTTTCTCTTTCATGTGACATTTTATTTATCTATGTGATCCTCTTTTTAGAACGTTGGCAAACCGAGAGTCAGCTGCACGTTCACAGGAGAAGAAGGCGAAGTACATAGTAGAGTTGGAAGGCGAAATACAGGCTCTTAGGGCCGAGAATACTGCAATAAGAGCTTTGTACAATCAGTTGCGGGTGAGACATATCGTATTAACAACCATCTACTGTATTTTGGTCAATTCTCAAAAATACCACACTTTGATAAACGGGTTCATGTAAGTTTGTATTTTTGTTGCATGCAGAATGATCATATTGCGATGGAAAATGAGCACAGAGAACTGGTGATTCGTTATGAAGGACTGGAGAAACAGGTGCAGCTTCATCAAGGTACGTCATCTTAATTTTTATGTAAGATCGCACTCGTACCGCCTTTAAAAAAAAAAAAAAAACTCCATGCTCTCTTATTGTAGAATTGCATGGTCAATCGAGTGCACGGATAAGTGAGTTAACAAATGAGCTGAACCAATACCGCATAGAAGCTAACAGATCAAACATGCAGCAGTCAGCAACCCAAATATGTTCCAGCAACTCAACATCAACCAGCCGCAGGGTAACCCCGATTTCGATGGACAGATCTAAGGAAGTTGAGAGGTGGTGGTGCATGGCTCTGGAGAATCCTGTAGGATCAAGGATTCA